AGGAGGACGGGAGCTTCGTGCGGCTCGTGGGTTTGTCTCGGGGACAGTTTGAGGAGCTGCTGCGTCTCGTGGGAGAAAGTCTGACGCTCCAGGACACCAACTACAGACGCTCCATCCCCGCCTCCCTGCGTCTCTGCATCGGACTCAGGTCAGTGTCTCAGGTCAGTGTCTCAGGTCAGTGCCTCAGGTCAGTGCCTCAGGTCAGGTACAGATAAACTTGTCTAAATGCAATAAATTCAGCTAAACTCTGGTCGGTTTTAGGGTCTGACCTGTGACTCTGAGACCAAAATGACTCGAGTCGTTTCTGCTGCGACAGATTCGTTAGCATTAGCGTTAGCATTAGCATTAGCGTTAGCATTAGCGTTAGCATTTCTCCAGCGATAAACGACTCGTTTGTTTTTCCGTCACGACGCTCTGAGCTCTCGTACGATCTGTGATGTTTGACCTTTGACCTGTATGTTGGTGTGACCCCTCTGACCTTTGACCTGGGTTTGCAGGTACCTGCGGTCGGGGGAGCACTTCCACAGCGTGGCAGAGATGTTCCGCGTGGCGTTGTCGTCGGTGTGTAAGATCGTGCCGCAGGTGGTGGCGGCGCTGTGGGACGGTCTGAAGGGGGAGGTGTTGGCGCCGCCGGGTTTGGAGCGGTGGCGTTCCGTGTCAGAGGAGTTCCGGCGCCGCTTTGACTTCCCGCTGTGCTGCGGCGCGCTGGACGGGCGGCAGGTGCTGCTCAAGGCCCCGCCCCGCTCCGGCGTTCAGGGTCAGAGGTCGTCGTCGGTGGTGCTGCTCGCCGTGGTGGACGCTCGCTCGCGCTTCCTGGTGGTGGAGGTGGGCGGGTTCGGGCGGGTCAGCGACGAGGGCATCCTGGAGAGCTCCGTGTTCGGACAGGCTCTGAGCCAGGGCAAACTGGACCTGCCGCCGCCGGCGCCGCTCCCGGGGGCGGAGCTCCGGGGACCTCAGCCCTACGTGTTCGTGTCGGACGAGACGTTCACGCTGCGCACCAACGTGATGCGCCCGTTCACTGGACACTTCGTGGCGCCGCAGAAGCGCGTGTTTAACCAGCGCCTGGCGCGCGCTCAGAGGGCGGCCGACAGGGCCTTCGCCCGCCTGGCGTCGCACTGGGGCCTGTACCGCCGTCCCGCCGAGACGAGGCCCGAGGTGGCGGAGCAGTGTGTGAGGGCGACGTGTCTCCTGCACAACCTCATCCTGTCAGAGGAGGAGGGGCCAGACGAGGAGGGGGAGGGGCCAGAGGAGGAAGGGGAGGGGCCAGAGGAGGAGGGGCCTGTAGCCAAGGGGGCGGAGCCTGTGGGGGAGGGGTCAGTTGGTGTAGAGCCGTTGTGGGAGGGGCCTCAGGGCGAGGAGGTGAGGATGGAGGCGGGGCTTGAGGAGGCGGAGCCTGAGTGGGGGGAGCCTGTGGAGGACGACATGGCCGAGGAAGACGAAGCGCCAGAGGGGGACGCAGAGAGCGGGGGCGGGGCCAGTGGAGACGGGGGCGGGGTCAGTGACGACGAGGTGAACAGGGGCGTGACGTGGCGTCTGCGGCGGCTGGAGCGCGGGTGGGCGCACAGACCGACCAATGAGGCGATGAGGGTGAGGGACGTGTTCATGGAGCACTTCTCGGCCGAGGGGGCGGCGCCCTGGCAGAACGCCGAGTGACGCCGAGTGACGCCGAGTGACGCCGAGCGACGCCGAGCGACGCCGAGCGACGCCGAGCGACGCCGAGTGACGGCGAGTGAAACGGTGGTGTGATGGTGACTGTTGTTTGGAGTTCAGCTGGAGCTGGTTCTGTCAGTTTTGTTTCTTCCACCTAAAACCTCTTCATACAAATCTGAACGTGTCTTGTGATTTTTTTTACTTTTTAGAGATATTGTACTTTTCTAGCAGCATATTTTTACTACAATTGGAGTAATATTTGTGTTGAAGTAGCAGTACTGTGACCTCCTACTGTGTTCAGCCTGGTTTCTGCACCAGTTACACAGGGAACCATTTTGTAAGTGATGTTTTCTCGGTGTGTGTACGTGTGTTTTCTGAATGACACGTCTGTATCTGTTTACACATAAATAAAAATATATATGAAACCGACAAGTGCAGAAATGAGAGTAGAATCTGATTTTCAGCATAAACATGAAACATGATCCAGAGTCTCAAGGACGTCCAATCACACAAGAAGCCGTTAGTGTCACAAATGTCAGATTTCCGGTCATTGCACAATTCACACTGGGAAGGATTTTCCGAAAAAGTGATGATCAAACCTCCATGTTTGTTTTCCCAGTGGGACGTGTCTATTGTCAAATCTTTTCAAGTCTTTTGATCCATTTCACTTTTGTTTCTGCTTCTGATATTGTCATATTTTAGTTTTGGGATTCGGACGTCGTAATTGTTGTGGTTGTTGGATCCTAACAGCGGAAAACGACTCGAGAAATGTGTTTGTGAACTTCATAAATACAAAAGTGAATCAGATGTGTGCTTCCAAAACACCAAAGGTGATTTAACGAGACTTTTAGTATCACACACAATTTACACTTTATTTTTTATTGAACCGTATCGAATCGATTTAAAACATATCAAACTAAAAGTGCGCTGTATCGAGATCTGGTTCGTATCGGCAACTTCTGAACGTTCCCAGCCCAAGGTAAAAATGTTGGTGCTACGACAATTGTCACAAAATAAATGGAAGGATTTGTACATTTTTACTACATTGTAAAAAAAAAAAAAAATAATAATAATAATAATCACATTGAAGTTGTGACTCTAAACTCCACCTTCATATATAAAAGTGTAAAAGTGAAATAAAAGGAGCAGCAGGTTTTGTTTTGTACATTGTTTATTAGAATTAAAAGTTGAAGTTTTACAGCAGACAGTGAACGCACCAGGAGGAGGAAGAGGAGCAGCTGAAGCCGAGCTCAGGTGTGTGTGTGTGTGTGTGTGTGTGTGTGTGTGTGTGTGCGTGTGCGTGTGCGTGTGTGTGTGTGTGCCTGTGTGTATGCGCCCGGGTGTGAGCAGCAGGGGGCGCTGGCGTGTCAGGTGCCCTCTCGTGGGCGGCTCAGTGGTGGGAGCTCTCGAAGCCGTCGGGCAGAGGGTTGGTGTGAGGATTGTGGAACAGACTGTGGTTCCCGTCGCCCCACGGGAACCTCTACAAACACAACACAAAGAAACAAACAAAAACAGGTTTAAAGAAAAGTCTCTGCCCTGGTCCTGGTCCTGGTCCTGGTTCTGTCTCTGCAGAAAGTTCCCAGAGTCAGGAAGTGCACTGTTAGCCTGCTAGTTGTTAGTTTCACCGTGACATCAAAGTTGAGTCGTGAAGGGTGCTTCTAAACTCATCATGGTAGTAGTAGTAATAGTAATAGCTGTAGTAGTAGCAGTAGTAATAATAATAGTAGTAGTAGTAGCAGTATTTGTAGTATTTGTACCTTGGTGCGGATGCGCAGGTGGGAGTACCGGACGAATTCGTTCTCGTGCTCGTGTGCTTTGAGGTAAGCGTTCACCATACACACGATCACGCCCGGAAATGCCACCACGAACGACAGGATCTTCCACGTACGAGCTGGAAAAACAAACAAACAAACAAACAAATAAAACAACACAACCACGTTTACAGGATGTTTTTTCATTCCAAATTAATTCTCCTGAATTAAATACTTTGGAATTAAAATATTCTCCTTGGAGTTTACACAGAAATTATAATTCTGAATTGAGGTTTTGATGGAAAACTTGTTTTTTAACTGGGCTGAGGAAGGTTCTGATTGGACAGAAACACCAACGGATTTACATCGACCAGAAGAAAACACAGACTCGAGCTGCTCATGGCTTTTCTGTCGTTTGGGTTTGTGGTTCCTTCACGGACACAAACACCGTCCAGACTTTTTGGACCCGCGGTGGTTCTGATGAGAACTGGAGAATCGTCTCATCACACTTTCCATCTGTGAGCTGAGGAGGAGAAGAAGGAGGAAGAAGACAAAAGCTCAGCCCACATCCCACATCCTGCTCACAAATCCAAAGAGACGTGGATCAAAGTCCCAACACAGGGCTGGACCAGGACCAGGACCAGGACCAGGACCATCTATGTCCCGTCTCTGGACCTGCTGCTGTGAACCTCGACATTCTGACCTTCAGATGTTCGTATGAATCTGCTCCACATGATCCTGGGGTTTATTTTCACATTTTTGTCTGTACAGAATGGTTCTCTCCTGAGCTCTGGGGGAGGAGCCTGAGCTGGTGTGGGTGGAGTCGTCCCTCACCTCCACACGACCCAGGCTCTGCGTCCGAACTCCTCCAGGGGGTTGGACCTTTCATTTCTCTGAGCCCCGCCTCCTCCAGAACGAGTCAGGTTTGTGAAGACGCAAGACCGCGCACTACGAGTTTTTCAGTGGAATAAAAACATACAAAATTAAAAAAAAAAAAACAAAAAAAACAAATGCTTTTATTTGAGTGTATTTTAGCTCCAAAGTTCCGCAGTGTGGCTTTATGTGAGCGTCTGTACCTCCGCCCTCGTGTTCCGCCGAAGCCGCCGCCGCCGTCATCAGCCTCCGAGCAGCGAGCGCTCCAGAAGAGAACGACATCTGAGAAAAAAACAGAAGAAAACTCTAAGACAGACATGTCAAACTCAGGTCCGAGGGCCAAATTTGGTCCGTGAGCTCATATCAAACATGTATTAGAGCTGCTGCCGGCTACAGAAAGATTATAGAGACATTATTTATTTAAAATTGTATTATTTTAAATTCTGTTTGTTCTGGATGTAGTGTTTAAGTAAAACTATTATTAAACATTTATTTGAATAAGAAAAGGTTTAACATTACAGAAGAGAAAACCTGCAGATGTTGTTGAAATTTTTCAATAAATATTTAGTTTGTCCCACGACTTAGTCCCAGTTTTTTATTTTGGCCTCTGTGAGTTTGAGTTTGACTCTCGTGCTCCAAGAGAAAACACCAACACACTGTTTACAACAGAACACTCCGGAACATGAGGAGAACACAACAGAACACAACAGAACACAACAGAACACAACAGGCCAAAGGGTTTGAAATGTGGAATTACACCATGAGTAAATAAGATTTAATGTTCTACTTCTGTTCTACTTGGAATAACAAACCTGCTGCGAGGCTTTTTTAAGAGTTTATAAGTGAATCATTTCTTAGGTTAACTAATATAAATGACTTCACCAAACAAAATAAAACTCCCGCTGGACTTTAAATATGTTTTTGTGTGAAATAATATTCACGTTTTAAAAAAAAAAGGAATAATTCGTTTACACCAAGAAATGATTAACTTATCAACTGTTGTTGGCACCGTGAACTCAAACCTCCTCAGCAGCAGCAGCTCAGTTCTATTTTAAGCTGAGTCCATTTTTTTTTTAACACTGACGTCCAAATCTCAGAACAACAGTCACACACGAGCGTTAGCACGAGCGTTAGCACTAGCATTAGCACGAGCGTTAGCACTAGCATAGCACTAGCATTAGCACTAGCATTAGCATTAGCATTAGCATTAGGAAGCAGTTTTTTCAGTGCGTCACTTTCTCCTTTTAGTGTCAAATCAAACTCCTGAACAGGATCCTGAACATTCTGATCACAGGGAAATGAAACCTGCTCTTTAAATCACTTTTGCATTTTCAGATGATGTTAAAACTTTTATGTGTTTGCTAACGTGTACATTGTGTCGCCGTGGCAACAGCTAGAGGCATTGAATACGGAATCGTCCGGTATTCAGAAACAAAAGTACATGTCCCGAAAGTTGAGTCCCAACATATTTAAAAAGGACACAGGAGTCAAATTCCAGCTCTTTAATTTCTTTTAGTTATTGTTGTTTCTGAATTTTTTAAATGTAGTTAATACGATTAACTGAGATTCAGGAGCAGGACCACGCCTCAGCCGCCCTCTCCTCTCACCGGCGAACCACAACTCACCTCGACCACGCCTCTAATTTCCCAGAAGCCTATATGTAGCAGCCTTTCCCATCATCCCAGTTTGTCTCGGCGAACTCGACCCCACCCTCCCATCCCCTATTTTGTCTTTCAGTCATAAGACCCCTACAAGGAGGGTCCCGTTCCGGCTGGGCCAATTGTAGATTGAGACGGAGCCCCCACCCATAGTCTCAACCCAGCCATCTTTGCCTCGCTTTGTACATTATCAATAAACTACTTCGCACTATGTTGTCGTTGGCGTGGTCCTAGCTAGTGAAATGTTTTTAAAGAAATTTAAAAACCCTCCCGTGCCTCCAAAAATAATGAAAAGTAATAAACAGAAAGGTGGACCTGGCGAACCGGCCAAACAGAACAAAAAGGTGCGACACCGGGCCGAGCGTACAGCGCCGTAGAAGCCGGTGCCTGGAACCAAAGATGAGAAAAACCCAAATAAACCTGAACCCAAAAGAAAAGTGAAAACAGGACGGACGCTCCCACCAGGACAAAACAAACGGCTGATGTCGAACGAAGGCCACATGGAGCCCACCCTGCACCTGACGGACGGGCGAGGCCACTGTCAGGGCGAGCACGGAGTCTGGAGCGCCACGGGCAAACAACTAATGATCCGAATCAATGTGCCCGCGTAACATCCCGTATTGAGCTTTAAAGAGACGCACTTTGTCCCGTATCACAGTGAGAATAATAATGTGTAGTCAAAGGAACGACCTTTTGTAAGAAAACGTACAGTAAACGTTTTCTCGGCTCCCGTTCTGTGACCGAGGAGCCGACAGCACTCGGCCCGCTCATCGTCTGATTGGTCGAGGCTGTTTGTGTTGCAAAGAAGATACCAGAAAACAGCAAAGCGCCGCGGACGACGGCGGCGCGGACGACGGCGGCGCGGACGACGGCGCCGCGGACGACGGTGCTCTACGGTGTCTGTCAAAATGAGCTGCCCCGTCGTAATGAGCTTCCTGCAGTTTGTTTCCAGGACACCGGCCACTGCCATGAAGTGTCCCTTATTTATTTTTCAGGGAGTTGGCGACCCTCGTAACAGCTGAACATTCCTCCATAGAGGCACATGTAGAACACCCCCAGCGTGACGTCACTGCAGGTGTTTCCTCAGAGCGTCCTGATGGTGGCGCCACAGCTGCAGCGGGGGGTTCACTGATCAAGTAAAACTACTCACTGATCATGTGACTTACAGCGCACTATGGAACTTTTCTGCTACCCGCTCGTCTCCATGGAGATGTTCCTGCTTTTGTCTGAAATGTCCCACAGTGTGGCATTAAACACGGTGTGTATGTGTGTGCACAGTCAGAGAAGAACGCGCACGTGCATCACTGCAACAAAAACTTCTGCAATAAATAAATGCAGGTGCTTTAATGCCACACTGTGGAACATTCCAGACAAAGCAACAGCGTCTCCATGGCAACAGCAGACAGCAGAACCTCAGCCAGAAAAGTTACACAGTGCAGCTTTAAGAAAATAAGATATGGAGGAATAAAAGGAACTTTTAAAAGAAATGCACTTTTCTGACAGCAAATTTTTACTACGACACGAGTAATATTTTTAAAGTAACAGTACTTTTACTGATTAGGTTTTAGTTTGTCTAATTTTTGTGTCTGTCTGAAAACATCTAATTTTGTATTTATTTTTTAAAATAAATTTTATAAATTTTTATTAATTGTATTATTATTTTTTATTATTTCATGTTTTGTTCTTCACATTCACTTCAAATTAGAAACAGATAAATCCCAAATACATTTTTACTTGTACTTGAGTAATGTCCTTGACCACTCCTTTGTACTTTTATTTTATAATATTATTTTGAAGTAACATTACTTCTACTTGAGTAATATTTTGGAGTAACAGTACTTGATTTTGTACATCTGGTTTTGTATTTATTTTATTATTTCATGTTTTGTCCTTCACATTCACTTCAAATTAGAAATCAGATAAATCCCAAATACATTTTTACTTGTACTTGAGTAATTTCCTTGAGCACTATGTTGTACTTGTACTTGAGTATTATTATTTTGAAGTAACATTGAGGAGTTTTTGGCACCTGTTGCATTTCTGTGCAAAAGTGAAACTGAACTAAACTCCTGTAAACTCTCCTAGAACCGCACATCGTGTTTTAGAATAAAATAGAAACTTGTTTTAGTGAAAAGTTTGAGCGTTGGCCTCAGGTCGCCTCAGGTCGGTCACTTCAGGTCGTGTCCGGGCCCGAGCCTCAGCTGCGTCTCTGTTTACCTCAAATCAACCTGAATCTAAACTGAATCTAAATCTAAAATCTAAAAATAAAGGTGGTCGTACCTTGTGTGCAGCTCGAGTGTCACACGTCGACGGGATGAAAACCAAGAGATTCGGGGAAAAGTTGGTCCCTGGTTTGATTCTGTGGAGTTTGATTCTGTGGAGTTTGATTCTGTGGAGTTTGTCCTTGAGTCTGTCCTGGTCTGAACTCTGACTCCGCCTCCTCAGATCCTGAGCCAAGTCCACATTTATTTATACGACACAACACGAGACGCGGAGTAAAAGTACAACTACACCCAGTAAAAGTACAACTACACCCAGTAAAAGTACAACTACACCCAGTACAAGTACAACTACAGGGAGACACGTAGTAGTTGTAGCAGTACTAGTAGTAGTACTAGCAGTAGTAGTAGTAGTAGTAGTAGTAGTAGTAGTAGTAGTAGTAGTAGTAGTAGTAGTAGTAGTAGTAGTAGTAGTAGTAGTAGTAGTAATAGTACTTGGTAACTGGGCAAATTTTTATCGCACGTTTCCACCTTCAAGACTCAAAAGTACAAACACACACACAACACACACACACAACACACACACGCACAACACACACAGACACACACACACGCACACACACAACACACACACACACACACACACACACACACACACACACACACACACACAGACACACACACACACACACAACACACACACACACACGCACAACACACACAGACACACACACACGCACACACAAACAAACACACAAACAAACACACAGACACACACACAGACACACACACAAACAAACACACAGACACACACACAGACACACACACACACACACACAGAGTGGGGGTTAGGGGGGTGAAGTGTCTTGCCCAAGGACACGACGGCAGCTTTCACCTCAAACTCTTGAACAGGACGAACACTCAGACCACAGGAAAACGAAACTGTGAGGTTTGAATCCATTTTGTCATTTTTCTTGAGATTTCAGATTTAAAACTTTAACCCAGGGGTGTCAAACATACGGCCCAGGGGCCAGATCCGGCCCACCAACACCTTTAATCTGGCCCTCGTCTGATTTTCTGCTAAAATATTATAATGATATTTTCTATTAAAATGGTGTTAATTTTCTGTGGTGTTTATCACAGCAGCGTCTCCAGCGTCTCTGTACGTGGCCCCTCCCACCAGAGCAGAGTCTCTGTACGTGGCCCCTCCCACCAGAGCAGCACAAATGAAGACTTGTCTCTTTCCAAACGTCTTAAAGGACGATGGTTTTGACTGTTGACCGTGACTCCCTCATCAGAAAAATGTCCAACATGAGAAAAAGTGGAAAAAGAAAAATGGACTTATTCCTGTTTACAGACAAGTTCATGTTCAAACTTTGTGTTGAAATTGTATTTTTCTTAAAGTTTCAGGTTGTTCATAATATAATATTTAGTAAAAGAAAGAGTTCATCAATTCAAAAAGATTTGTGTAATAGATTTGTGTTTCTCTGCACAAATATTTGAACTTCTTGTTATTTTTGGGGTTTATATGACATGAGTTTTCTGATCCGGTTGGACTCGACCCCCAGAACAAAATGAGTTTGACACTTCTGATTTAAACGTTTTCATCATTAATGTGTGCGTCGCGTCTCCATGGCAACCGCATGAACATTCCCCCATACACATACAGGCAGAACACCCCAGAGCATTTAATCGAACTGAAAAAACCCCCCAACACAACTCAAAATTCATTCTTTGACGTCGTTTTATGCATAAATTCATGTTTTCCACTTTTCTCATTTGTCGCTGCACAAAAACATCCTGATTTCTCTTCACAGTGAAAAGCTCAAATTCAATTAAATTTTATTAAATATAAAAAAAAAAAGAACAAAAACATTTACAGGTGATTTAGGACACGTCGATCAGGCCGAGAAACCAAACGTGACGGATCATCTGCAGATCTGTCACGTCAACACCCAGACGATTTACATTTGAAAGTAAAAAAATTAAATAAAAAACAGTTTAACCGTTCAGGCCGCCACACACCACAGGACAATTTCTTTGTGACTTGACTTTTTGTCTTCGTGTGCGATTGTGAAGCTGTCGTGTTCCTCGTTCTCGTGTGTTTCTGTCAGATCGAAACTTCAGCAACGCAACAGAAACAGACGAGAAATCTGAACGTCCAGAGCAGAAGAGACGGACACAAAAAGACAGAAAATACAAACTCAGAAAACAGAGAAAATAACGAGATTTTATTCCTAAACCGTGTGTAAACAGGACCAGACCGGGACTGAGACCGGGATTGAGACCGGGACTGAGACCGGAACCAGATCAGGACTGAGACCGGGACTGGGACCAGGACCAGACCTTGATTAAGACCAGGACTGAGGCCGGGACCAGACCAGGACTGAAAACAGTTTAAGTCACAAAAACAGGAAACGGCTGTTATCAGTTTTTTCCATTTTTCATTTAAACACAAAATTTAAAACTGAAAAATCAAATCTTTATCTGTTTTTTCATTTTGGTTTTGGAGACAAATAATGAAGAAAATAGTTGTTTTTTTCCTTTTATTATTATTGGTTTTATTTTGAAAGACAAATGACATGTGGATTGTTTGGGATTATAGTTTTTGAACATTCAAAATCGTGTCAGTGCATTTATTTATTGTCGTCTCTTTTAAACAAAACGTGTAAATGTTTGAAAATAATCGCAGCAGCCTCATGAGAACTGAACTGAACCCTGGAGCTGCGGGAAAGAGATACGAAAACTCCATGACTTTTCCAGGATTTCCATCACCGTGGGAACCCAGAACTTTACATCCTGTGGTCTGCAGACGGATCCTGCTGCCGTCTTTGAGTTCGCAGATTTAAAATCTCGTCAGATTTAAAATCTCATCAGATTCTCCTCGTGTCTCTGGTTTGCGCTTTTTGTGGCATGTTTAAAAATCGTTTGAAACCGAAAAATCCTGAAGTGTGTGTCGGACTTTAGACGCATCGACAGGAGGGAAACACGACTCTTGATTTGACACATTTTCAGTTTAGTCCAAAAGGAAGAACATCTGACACAAAGGTTTACAGGAAGACGGAAGGGCATCTGACGGGTTTAATAAGTTCAAATCCATTTTTTCCCCAGTATTTTTTAAAGGTCCTTTATCACGTTATTTTCTGATTTCTTTTCGAACGTTGATTCCTCAACTCCAGCTCTGTTTTTGAGGAGGAAACATTAGAAGGAGTGTAGGAGTTCGATAGTCTCACCTTTTTCCGAGTCCAAACTGGTCCCAGAAGTAAATTTTCTGTAAATTTTCCCCATAAAATTCAAATATTAAGAGGATAAAAGGATCACATCTGTTACGTAAAGCAGAAAAGCAGATTTAAAACTCAAGATTCAGTGAAATGTTTTAATAATTTTGGTTTCAGAAACAGATTTGAAGTAAAAGGTCTTGGGGTCTTTTCTTCCACGGAGCTGATTCGTCCTGAGCTTTCAAACTTTTAATCTACAGGTGTCCCAAAAATTTGACATAATTTTGGTGTTTCTTGTTGAAATAACCTCAAATTTTCACAGGATGTTTAGAAGCAGATCAAGATTTTATATTGAAAGTTTTATTTTTGTCGTGTTTTCAGGTTGAGTTGTTCACAAACAGAATCATTTTGTGTGATTGACTGAGCAGCTTCAAAACAACATTTGGAAAAACTTCAGCAACTGGAAAACAAATTTGGACTTGGAACCAAAAATGTAAAGAGAAAGGATCTTCTGCAGGACTAAAAGATCTGGACCAACCTCAACCTCATCATTGAGCTGGACTTCAAGATAATCACTTTTAAAATGATGTCAAATTCTTTGCAATAACCTGCATTTCATATTTTTCAGACAACAAGTCGAACTTTTTTCATGGTTTGGGTCTTTCCTGCGATTTATTCTCCTTATTTTTACTACTTATATATTAAATTTTTCCAAACTTAAATTACATTTTTCAAAACTTATCAAGACGACTGAGAAGACTGAACACAAACGCTCCCAAAAACAAAATCTGATTCTGCAGATTTACAAACTGCGAGTCGTGAAATCTGCAGCTGAAAACGGAAATGGAGCAGCAGAAAGAAAGTTTGGAGTGAGAGAGAAACTTGTGACACCAGGAGGATGAACCGTGAAACTTTCCTGAAGTCACTGGACGATGGACAAAGTCTGGACTTCAGTGACACCGAAACCATCCTGTCGAGATTCAGAAAGACACAAATAATTCTAACTGAACTGAGTCTGAGACCTCCAAGAATCCACATGTCAGTCGTTCATTTGTTTTTCAAAATAAAACCAAAAATAGGAAAATGAAAAAACGACTATTTTCTTCATTATTTGTCCCCAAAACCAAAATGAAAAAACACATAAAGATTAGATTTTTCAGTTTTCGATTTTGTGTTTAAATGAAGAATAGAAAAAACGGATAACGGCTGAACCGGTGTCAGTCCCGGTCTGGTCCAGATCTCAGTCTTGGTCTTAGTCCCGGTCTCAGTCCTGATCACCTGACGGTCTACGCAGGTGCACCTCCAAGCCCGTCCTCACACTCAGTCTTGGTTCAGACCTGGTTTAGTCCTGGTTTAGTCCTGGTTTAGACCTGGTTTAGTCCTGGTTTAGTCCCTGGTTTAGTCCCTGGTTTAGTCCCTGGTTTAGTCCCTGGTTTAGACCTGGTTTAGACCTGGTTTAGACCTGGTTTAGTCCCTGGTTTAGTCCCTGGTTTAGTCCTGTTTTAGACCCGGTTTAGACCTGGTTTAGACCCGGTTTAGACCTGGTTTAGTCCTGGTTTAGACCTGGTTTAGTCCTGGTTTAGTCCCTGGTTTAGTCCCTGGTTTAGTCCCTGGTTTAGTCCCTGGTTTAGACCGGGTTTAGTCCTGGTTTAGACCTGGTTTAGACCTGGTTTAGACCTGGTTTTTAGACCCGGTTTATTTTGAAAAAGGAATGAACGAGTGACACAGACTCTGGATGTTGAGGTCGAGTTGTTCAGAAGTGACACGAGGATGAAGAATTGAAGTGATTTAGTGATTTGGAGTGAGACGGAGTTTGTTAAACTTGTTCTGTTGTTGTGACGTTCACAGTCTCTTCTTCTCTTCGTTTGTTTTTACTACAACTTCACTTCACACAGGAAATGTCGGCTCCTGGTTTCTCATTTTATAAAACAAATTTCCCCCAAAAACTGCGACTTATACATGTTCATTTTTGATTTTTTTCTGGAAGTTTACAGGAAAAATAAGTGGTAAATTTACTTGTGGGACCAGAGGAGGCGCTCACGTTCCACGTCAGTTTCCGTTTCCTTTGCAGCTCAGAGCTTCTGTTACTAATCTCACCAAGTCCAGTTTGAGCGTCTGAAGGCAGTCGGCCTCCTGCACCAGGCTCCTGAGACCTTCTGCCACCTGCGCCTGCGAGAACGGCGCCACCATGAGGACGGCGAGGCAGGTGCGCCCCAGCTCCGAGTAACTGTACCTCTGACAGAACCGGTACATCTGCGGAAGACGCCTCAGAATCCAGCCGCCGCCTGCCGCTGCGCTTTTACCTGAAGCTTCGTCGGCGCATTTTCGCTTTTGAGACTTCAAATCCAGACTCGAGTCTATTTCAGAATCACTTTTGTCTTTGTCGAAATTCTCCAAACCGGACACGAGCAAAGCGACGCAAACCTCCTCCAGCTCCTTCTGCAAATCGGCGACTAAAAACCGACACGCGCCGACCATCGCTTTGCCCAGGCGCGTTTCCTCAAACCGTTTTCCGTTCTCGCTCGTCTCCCCGCGAACCAAAGCGTCCAGGGTTTGGCACTTCTCCGTTGCCGCGGCGACGAAGCGACAGCCGTGGAGGTGGTGGAGCGCGGGAGCCAGCGCGGCGACGCTCACGTCCTTGATGGCGATGGCGTCCCGGCTGCTCGCTTCGCCGAATCCGCCTCTCAGGAGCGCGCGGAAATACTCGCTGGCGCCGTCGTCCCCGGACACGGCGTCGCGGTTGGCCGGCAGCCGCTCGCCCCCGTCCAACAGGAAGCTGAGGTCGAAGGTGGCACGGCGGTACGGGCAGGGGGGCGGGGCCAGGCGGGGCTTCTTGACTGGGGGAGAGGAGGTGTGGGCGGAGTCGGGGCGGGTCAGGCTGAAGCGTGATTGGTCGGGGGGTTTTAAGCCCGAGGTGAGCGCGGTGAGGCAGCCGGCCAGCAGGGGGAGGTAGAGCAAGGGGCACTTGGGAGAGTCGCCCTCAGCGTCGCCGCCCAGAGGCTGAAGAGCGAAGTGCAGCCCGCCGCCGTCCAGCAGGAGCTTCTTCAACAGACACTTGTTACTGAACACAAACAAGAGTCACTATTATTATTATTATTATTATTATTATTACTACAGGATTCTGGTGTAATTTATTATAATTTAACTGTCTAAAAGTATCGAAAATCATCGATACTAAATCCAATATCGAAACTAGATCCTCGTTTATCACAAGTGTCGATAACGAAAAGAACAGAACAGAACCTGAATGTGTTTAGAACCATCTGGAACTGGATCAGAACGAGTGTAAGATACAGAGACTAGAACACACACACGGACCTGGTTTAAGACCTGGTTTAGATCCAGTTTTAGATCTAGTTTTAGATCTGGTTTAGACCTGGTTTAGATCCAGTTTTAGATCTGGTTTAGACCTGGTTTAGATCCAGTTTTAGACCTGGTTTAGACCTGGTTTAGACCTGGTTTAGATCTGGTTTAGACCTGGTTTAGACCTGGTTTAAGACCTGGTTTAAGACCTGGTTTAGACCTGGTTTAAGACCTGGTTTAGACCTGGTTTAGACCTGGTTTAGATCCAGTTTTAGATCTGGTTTAGACCTGGTTTAGATCCAGTTTTAGATCTGGTTTAGACCTGGTT